GAGGAAGGCCCTCTATGAGGTGGATTGATTCAGTGACTAGGATAATTGGGGTGGGAGTGTCAGAGACAGTGCGATTGGCACAGGACAGAGCGGAGTTTAGAGCTGTTGTACATAGGGTCGCTATGAGTCGCAGGTGACTCGACGGCACATAACAACAACAACAACAACATGTGGCAGTTATGCAAGAGTATACTTGTTTTCCATAATGCGGTCTAATATGATAAAATCTGATTTGATCTGATAGAAGAGAATCATACATGATTACACATAACAGAGTAGGCTGAGTTATTGACTAGCATTTGCTTAATCTGGATGATGCATTTGTTTTGTCACCTTTGGTTCTTGCCTTAAGCAAATAGTCTGCCATGTTTCCTGTCAATCTCGAGTCAGCAGTCAGCCTTCTGACCTGGTTATCTTTGGTTATTCAGCCCTTGAAGTTAAGTGAGTCTGTAGAAACATCTACCCATGGTCTTGAGACTTTTCAGTCTCTATAAACATATGACTCGTTTCCCTGAGAAAGTTCTTGCTCTCTTTCTGTATCTATGCAGATATTGGTTCTCTACAAAACCCAAATAAAATAAATACCAAGTGATTTTGTGTAATGGCTTTGTATGTTGCCACTTTGTTGAATCCATTTACTAGTGCTAGTATCTTTTTTTAATTAATTTTGATGAACATTTACAGAGATTTTGGATTTCCATTCATTCATTGTTGCATTTTTCCCCCCTCCGACCCCACCCTTACCCCCAGTTCGCTCCTCTCCTTGAAAAGCAAAAGAAGAAATTTCTTCATTGGTATACAATCCCCCCACACTCCCCACGCCCACCCTGAGTATACTCCACTCTGCAACCCTCATTCCAAATTCTTATGATAATCATAATGCCCTAAAATATATTACTTAAAAACTATTCTCTCCCTCATTGACTTCAGTGAAGTATACATAATTTATCCAGTTTTTCTCAGTCTTACCCCATCTTGATGTGACTCTTTGTGAAGATTTTCTATATACCATATTATTCTATTATCTATGGAAAGGAACAGTTCTACTTCTTATTCCGTATTTTTATAACTTTTATTTCATTTCCTTATTTATCTAATAAAATTTTCAGTATATTTTTATATTAATGGTTACAACAGTCAGCCTGGTGTTATTCTTGTTCAAAGTTCATTGTCTTTCTCCATTGAGTTAGGTGTTATTTGTGAGTTTTAAAAAAATGTTCTTTACCAAATTGCAGAATTCTTACCTGGTGGGGCAATTTAAAAATCCTATGCACTTTTATATTATTGTGTTAAAATTTTTCCTGCATCAATAGTTCACCATAGATCATATATTTTATTCTGTTAAAGAATTATATCTATGTTAGTTTAGTGTATATTTTGAGTTGCTGAATATTTCTGGGATCATAGTGTACAACTAGATTTTAAAGTATTTTATTTTGGTAGTTGTTGAGAACATATATATTTTTGTTGTTGAGCAAAACATACAAGAATTCCTCAATTTCTACATGTACAATTCAGTGACATGAATTACAGTCCTTACATTGTATAATTTTCCCTCTTTCTTAGTTGTTCCTCTCCCATTAACTAAAATGCATAGTCCTCTAAATTTCCTAATTAATCTTTTGAGTTTCTATTCTCTATTTGACTGTATAGTTTTTAAAAGAGCAAAATTCTCAAGACAAACTGTATTTATTAATTAAGCTAGATTATTATTTCAGTTTTAGAAGATTTCATGGAATATTTTCAGTTTAAGTGTCATAGAATACCTCAGGGAAATAGTTTTAGTTCTTTCAATCTCCATGGCTTCAAAAAGACTTAATTCCACAGGGGCTTTAAATTCTTCTCCTATATTTCTACTTTTGATCAGAATTCTTCCACTGAATCTTTGACAGAAACAATCAGTAAGACTCTGTTCCACTCTGTTCTCATTGCAAAGAGACAATGAACCACATATATCATTATTTTCTCACATTCATGACTTGATTTGTTTCTCTTTTCCTCCAAATGAGTAAAGACTAATAATTGTACCTTGGATATCTACTTGACAGATTTTAAGACCTCAGGCACTATAGCACAGAAGAAACTACAAGATAAACAGGAACATCAAAACTCATATTACGCCAGTTGACTATGAAATGAAATAAACCATGATGCTAAATTTTTAAACTAAGTACCTCTCACCTTTGAGATACTTTCTGATACATAAGCAGATATAGTAGCTGCTTTTTTCGGTTGAATTTGTATGATTTTGAAAAAACAAATTCTTGATTTTACTGATGCTATTATTTTTCTGTCCTCTATTTGATTTGCTTTGACCATCTTCTGTTGCTGCTGTGGAGAACAATTTGGTAATTCCCAGAAAACTTAAAATAGAATTACCATATGATATAGCAATTCTACTCTTCTATGCATACTCAAAAGAACTAAAAGCAGAAATGCAAACATATATATATATATATACCTCATTGTTTGTAGCACCATTCACAGTGTCTTTACCCTAGACATTAATCAAAGTCTTTGGAATTATATTTGTGATGTAATATATTCCTTGAGCTGGAGGAGTTAAAGTTGTTATACCTTAAAATAAAGTGCTATAAAAATAGCTGTTTTGCTGCATGGAACTTACATTATTTGGTTATCATAATGAAGAGGGATTAAACTGATCCATTTCCATATAACTGGGTTAATAGACACACATAATCCAAAAGAATTAGTGCATAAATAGAAATTGTTATTAATGTTGTAACTAACATTCCAAATTCCTTTTAAATAGTTTTGTCACACATTTAAGAATGTATTAATCATTCAATAAATGAATATACTTGTATTATATATCCTAAATATTTTCCCTTTCTTACAAGATAGCTATATGTTGGTTGGCTAATTTTCATTTCAGAAATTGCTGAGAGGGAAACAAAAAAAAGAATTCAATGTCTTGTTGTGTTCATAGAATGTTTTTCTTTTCTTGTTAGCCTTTTCATGGCACCTTTGAACTTTTTATTTCTTAGTGTGTATATTAATGGGTTTAAACTGGGAGTAATAATAGAATAAAATATACTGAGAAATTTACCCTCATTTTGATTTGGACTATTCCCTGGTTGGATGTACATGTAGATAAGTGTCCCATAGAAGATGGATACCACAATGAGATGGGAGGAACAAGTCCCAAATGCTTTTTGTCTCCCTGTTACAGATTTGATCTTGAGTACCGCTACAGTAATGAAACCATATGAGACCAGAATGAGGAGAAGAGGAACAAGGCCCATAGTTAGGCACACAACAAATATAGTTACTTCCATGGCTGTAGTGTCCACACATGCAATCTTAACCATGGCAGATATTTCACAAAAAAAGTGGTCAAGGTGATGGTTTCCACACCGAGGAAGACTCATGGCATAGGGAGAAAGGATCAAGCAATTAATAACACTAATTACCCAGGCCATGACTACCAGGGCCTGGCAGAGCTGTGCACTCATTACAGTCATGTAGTGCAGAGGCTTACAGACAGCAATGAACCTGTCATAAGACATGACTGCTAAAAGAATACATTCAACTATACATAGTGTAACATCATTGAAAAGTTGAAAGGCACAGCCACCAAAGGTTATTCTCTTGTCTTGACCCCAGATGTTGACCAACATTTGTGGAACTATATTTGTGGTGTAACAGAGATCTAAGATGGCTAAATTTCTAAGAAAGAAGTACATGGGAGTTTGGAGATGTTCATCGAGGAAAGACAGCAAGATGATGGCCATATTGCCCGTCAAGGCAACAGTGTAGCAGAAAAAAACAACCCCAGAGATGATCATCTCTAATTGAGGCTGTCCTGTAAATCCAAGGAGTATAAAACCATTAATGCAACTTTCATTGATCATTCCTTTTTTCCAACTTTCCTTTGTAGCAATTCTGAAGATGAGAAAATCAACATATTAGAAAAATAGTGAGCAAATTCACAAACTTTATTACCAAACTAAACTGAAATATTACATTCAAGAGATAAATATCTTCTTAGTACAAAAAATACCTTGCTGTATTTATCTTTAGGATTAACAGGAAAAGCCCAAGTTCAATAAAATCTTTTATTTATTATCTCAATAATGTTGAATGCTTGTCCTATTATAGTAAGAGTTATGAAATAGTGAGTAGTTTTTTTTAATAAATGAAATATTCACCAAATTTTTTGCAAAAGAAAAAATAATTTCTGAAACCTAAGTCTCTTTTGAACTCTACAGTATATAAAACAGAAGGCACTGATAAATTGAAGTCATTAAGTGTTTTCTAATATTACTGTTTTTTTCTAAAGAGTTCCCGTGCTCTAATAATATAACAGCTGTGATTGCTAAAAGATATGGAATGTGAAGAAATTATTTTTCACTTCATGTTTTTATTATTCCTTGTATCAATTCTGTTCTCTATTGTGATCCTTCAAAGTTAGCACCAAAGCAAACCCCTACACTTTTTTTCTCCAAGATAATTTTCTCACCATGTTGTTCATTTCTTTGTGTAGACAATTTTCCAACCTCTTTCTCAAAAAAAGACCTCTCATCTAGATAAATGCTTAGGACAATGGAATAAAAACTCTTAAGAGCAATCACAAGTAAAGAAATTAGAAGAAATAAGTCCTCATGTCATTAACAACAAACTACAACTCATTGCCATTTTGTCAGAACTGACACATAGCTTACCCATCATGCATCAGGCTTTCAAAGGCTATGAAATCCATGAAAGGACGTTGTCCATTCTTCTTTCAGAGAGCCACGGATAGATTTGAACCTCAAAAGAGGCACCACTATTGGGTTAACAGTGCCACTCCCTACAGAGTACAACACCAGAGCTCTGATGACTGTTGAAGTCCAGTGCACTAAAATTTAAAAATGCAAGACGCAAGTTAATGAAAATAGATTATCTTCTTTTATTTTTTTGTGCCCATAGGTTTAATACCTAATATTCTGCTTACATGAACTCATGGCTGATTTGTAGTACATCTGATTCCAGATGAGAAATTTGCACATTCAAGTCACATTGGCTAATCAGGGTTGTCCTTGAAGCTCTGATGGCCTAGTGAATACCAAGTTGTGCTGACATCTCAAAATGGCAGTTCAAATCTACTAATGGCTCCTTGTTAGAAAAATGGGCATTCTCCAGTGCGATAAAAGGGCATTCTTCTCCAATGTGATTTAAAGAAAATAACAACACAACAACAAAAACAACACAGAAAAACACAAAACACTGGTGGATAAGCTACAAACTGTTTGTTGGTTCTGATTTGATAACAATGAATTAAGTTGATCTTGCTCACTTCTTTCATTATTCTAATCAGCCTTGGCACTATTTATATTTGAACAAGAGAATTCTTTATTGTTGAGTGCTGTTTTTTGCATTAAAGAACTCAGCAACTCCCCAGATGTTGTTATTATTAGGTGCACTCATAGCAATCTTAGGAAGAACAGATCAGAACCTTGTCCTATCATGTGCCATCCACACAATACAATTTATGGTACACTCAAGTCCATTGCTGCACTTATTGTGTCAATCCATCTCATTGAAGGTCTTCCTTTCTTTCATCAACCTTTCCAAGCATTATCTCCCTCTCTGAGGAATACCTTCTCCTAGCAACATGCTTGAAGTATCACCTTTGCCCCCATGGAGCACTCTTGCTGAACCTTCTCCAAGATATATAGATATATAGATATGAATAACTAGTGTCCAATACCATATGCAGGTAATTCCCTTCTCCAACTGCAACAACCAACAAGATTTCCAGAAATTGTTCATGTTCCCTGGGTGGAAAAATTTCTATGATTGAGTACTCCTTGGTCAAGTTGGTACTATAAGCATGAAAATAATATTTCTTTTTGTGTTTTCCCCTCAACAATTTCTGAAATGAAAACTAGCATTTGTAACCCTTAAATTGAGACAACTTATGCTATCATGTAAGAAAGGGAAAGTATTTAGAGAATATAATAAAGGTATATTCATTTATAGATCCAACTTCTGTAGCTCTTTATCTGAAATTATAAAAACATATTTCCTTTTCATTTCAACCTTCTCCTTATCATCACAATATTTTATTTCTTTACCTTCAGATCCAGGAATTTATTTTATGGTGAAAATATTATTTGGTCTCCTGTGTACTGGGCATTCCATTGTTTTCAGTATCTTAAGGTTTTATTCTCCAGAAGTTTGTCTCTTTCTTATTCTCTCACTAAAATTCTACTGTTGGTTTTTTGTTTTGTTTTGTTTTTTTACTAGTGTTCACCTTAGTAATTTATTAAGCTTTTCAATTGTCCTGCAATATTGGTCTTTTAAAATAAATTTTTATTTTATACTGGTTTACTTACAAAGTTTGTATACATTGTTTTTCACACTAGATCTTTCCCATTTCCTTAATCCATTCCTTCCTCCACTCATAAAATTGTGCAACCCTATGATTAGTCCTCCATCCTCCATTTTCCTTCCAATTCAATGCCACATTCTTATTCATGTAGTTTAGCTTTTCTGTATTATTTGCTCAACATCTAAAAAAAGTATATATGCTAAAAAGATTTAACCCAGACGTACAACATTCCTGATTTTAAACCATGTAGTATTCTTTGTTCTGTCTAAACTATTGCTCCTTGGTCTGTACAGAGGTTCCGTATGAGTTAAGTGTTGTGCATTTCTCATTCTTTGCAATGTTATCTACATTATGATCAACAAAGGTGAATTCTAGTGCAAGATCTACCCCTCTGCTCCTACCCCTTAGATTCTCATACATGTTTTACTAGTTATCTATTTATACAATCATGGTCTTATATAGTATTTGTCCTTATGAGACTGAGTTCACTTCCAAATTAGGTAGTAATTTACAGAACAATTGCTCCTACATGCTGCAGAATATTCCATTGTATGAATGTACCATAATTTTTCAATCCATTCCATTATGGTTGAACATTTGGGCTGTTTCCACATTCTCTAGATGGTGCATAACTGTTTTGCAATGTTTTTATGTTTTATTTCACAACAAAGAAAAAATATTCTTAAAAAATACCAAAGGAAAAAACCCCAAACCCCAGAACTTGGAAAATATAGTTGTTTCAGGAACAAAGAACTAATTTTCCCCAATGCTTCTGGAAAATACCTAAAAAGATCAATGACTCAGGACAAATATGAAGGTTTTAAAACAGGTAACCCATAAAAGGAGACTACATCTCATTTCTGATGAACAAGATATTAAAAAAGTTTCTTCATAGAGTTCCTTTAAAAACCTTTATCTTGTTGTGGTGCTCAAGTATTTTATAATTTCTAGATATAAGTCCCTTTTATGACATGTCATTACCAAACCCTTTTTCCCAGTCTGTGGCTTCCCTTTTTACCCTGTTGGATAAGTTTTTGGATGTGCATAGGGACTTGATTCTTAGAAGGTCCCATTCATCTATTTTATCTTCCCCTGATTGTAGATTTTTCAGGATTCTTGGAAGACTGTTTATGTTGTGGATTAGGACTACTAAAGTTCTTCCAAGCTTTTCTTTAATGAAGTTTATAGTCCTTGGTTTTAGTCCTAGGTCCATGATCCACCTTGAGTTGATTTTTGTATATGGAGTAAAAACCCTGAGGGGAGGAATTGTAAAACAATGGGGGAAGTTTTCTTTTACTTTTCAAAGAGAAGAGTGCACTGGAGCGGGGGAAGGGTGGGCAGTGAGAAAAGTGCAAGAACAAATGAATGGAAATCCAAAGTCTCTGCAAATTTTCATCAAAATTAATAAATCCCCCTCACAAATCCAAGTTAGAGCTTTTTTACTTCAAAGCTTAAAGCCAAGGGTTGCCCATCTACTCAGGTATTTTTGTTTATTACTATCACATTGTCTTACTTTGTTAATTTTATATGACTTTGTCTTTACATAAATTTTAATAAACTACTAAACTAAAAACATTTATTCTTCCTGCAGCTGATTTATCCAGGAAGCTGCTTCTCTTCATACAGATGAATAGCCTTGCACTTGCCCTACTGAGTATATCATACAAGATAATGGACAAGAAGTGGTTTTAAAGCAGTGCTTTTAACTTTCACATTTAAAAAAGTTGAAAACATCAAAGATCAGGGGGTATTTGGAGCTTAAGTGGAATCTATAAAGGAAAAAGTCCTGATGTAAGGTAACCATGTCTGAGAATAGCTGTGCACGTGGCTAAATCTGGATGCAAATCAGGCAGGACCAGGTTCAAGTTGTTTGAGTTTCTCTTGGAGTTCCTGGAACTGTCTTTGATTCCAGCTGATGCGGATCTGGAGGCTGGCCATGTCTGCAGAGAGCTGCAGGCCCTCCTGGAAGCTGGTTTGTGCCTGTCGCAGACTCTGAGGAACCAGAATTCCAAACCAGTTCAGGGGATCCTGAGCACCTGCTGAGGGCTCTGGCTGTGGAATCTTAGAAAGGCCCTTCCATCTTCGCAGAGCTAGCTCTTGTGGGCCCACATCTTCTGGTCTCCGACCGGCCGTCTTCACCACCCACAGCCTCTGGAGTAAGTCCTGAGCCTCGCTAGTGTGGACACAACAGCAGGGCTCCATGTGGGAGGCATACTGCAGAGGACCACTGACTTGGCACCCTTGGCTAACAAGCCTTGGAGAGCAAGAACCAACCGTCCTCTACTCTGGTGTACAAAGCTGCCCGCTTCGCCTCTAGTTCTTCAAAGTCCCGGAGCAGCTGCAATAACAGTGAGTCCAACTCCTCTCGCATGCTTAATCCCGCCATGCACTACACAAATAGACCTAAAATTCTACTGTTAATTTGCATCTTCATTGAGAAAGTCTGCTGTCAGAGACCTCTCCAGAGTACTGAAGAGCAATGATATTAGTCTAGAGACTAAGGTGTGCCTGATACAGGCCATAGTATTTGCAATCACT